ATATATTACGAATATATTTAGTAGATCTTACCATTCAAGTTACATCGATTTACAGAAGAGTATTCTTACCTTGACTTGACAATTTGTGAGTGAAAGAAAACTCCGATTAATGAAGAATGAGAAAGAGTTAATTTGAAGCAGAGCTTTCTTCCTCATTTAACACCTTTTGACAAACTATTTTGAGATCGTTCTCTTTCATATGAGGCATGAAGAGATAAAAATGTTGATCCGATGAGATGGCATTCAACGTAAATTGAATCTCAAAATATTCTTCACATGAGGTAGTTCACATGAGAACATGTTTTTTAATGGCTCAAACATCATTGCACAAAAATATTCTTTCAAAAAAAATTATAATATTAACTGAATCATTGTTTTTTATGTACATCAACAATTCATTGTTTTATCCACTACGTTGCCTCAAAGAAGTTAAAATACTTATTAGTTATGATACATATATACATAAATATCAAGAGAACGATATAAATGTCATAGTGAGGATGAATCACATTTTAATTAAAAGGCCACTTTTTATCCAAAGACAAAGACAATTGGTTTTCTAAGAATCAAAACTTTCAACCACACAACAACAATACCAAAAAACTAAAGCAGACTATATAACTTTTCCGATGGATTCTTCTCCTTCTTCTTAAAAAAAAACATTAAACAAATCATGTACCTACAAAACAAAGGGTCAATATATCCAAATTCGAATCCAACAAACTAAAAAGAGAAAACAATAAAAAAGAAAACTATGAAAAGTAACCATACTATTTTTTAAAAGATAGAGTCTTCTTTTCAAATCAAAAATGATGAAAAAAACAGAGGAAAGCATAGGAAACAAAATAAATCGATTAATAGATGTATTTTCTTGAAGAACATAACCCCCCACACATCACACAAACCAAAAGAACCTTCTTTGAAAACACTTTAAAAAATATCACAATTGATCAGATAGGAAATATCATGCATATGAACAAAAACAGCAAACGAACTACTGAATAAAAAGCAACAAACAAAAGAAAAAGTCGAGACTAATAATAAAAAGGTGATTCTTGTGTGACAGGTGTAAGAGGTCGAGACTCAAGGTGGCATTGTTGTAAATAACCCCACCAATTCAAACAAAGGCAAACTCTTTATGTGTGTTTTTTTCGGTTATTACCCATGCATGCATCTTTCTCTATCCTTAAATGGAGCTATATATGGACCTTTGATCCACATTTTTCTAGCGATTATGTCCCCTAGATTCTCAATCGCGGCTGCAAATCTTTACGCTTTGAAAGCAACCTATAAACCAACATATTAAACCAACATTTTCTCATCTACCAATCAAAAAGAGAAGGTTTGTTTGAGAATTGTACCTTGCATCGGAAATGTGCATCTAGAGACTGGGTAGTCTTGAATCTAATCTTTTTAACATAAAAAAAAAACTTGAAATCAATTGCATTTAGCTAACATTAAAAGTCAAGAATAATAGAAAACATAAACTATAAACCACTAAACAGCAGAAAACATACATGTGTAAAGAATTTTGTACGTTTCCAAACCGGAGAAACAACCTATATGAAATCTGATTCTCAATTGTTTGTCTAGACATAAGATCTGTTGATTGTAGAGAGAAACAACACATACATCATATCTAAATTTTCTTGAAAGAGTCTCCAGACCAAAACTTGACCATCAAAACACACAACAGAAGTCACGATGTATGACCGAAGAAAGACCAGAAGAACCCATGCAAATTTTCGAACAAAGTACCAAAGCCCTCGAGACTCTCTGCCAAAAAAAACAGGGCAAATAAATTGAAAGAAAGTGGATAGCGGGATTTGAGTTAAAAAGCATGTTCTTTTGAAAAACGCTGTGATAGTGAAGGGGCTTAAAAAACTGAAGAGGCAGCTTAAGACGGAAGG